TCCCATCTATTCACCACTTTATGGGGTATGTACTTCCATGTACCCGAGACAGACCTTGTCCCTAAGGTACATGGGGCAGCAGCTATTTCCGGGATACATATTGTTTTTAGCAAGTGCTACGTGTATTATATAATTTTATTTTACGACAGCGTCTATCGAATGATGTATGAAGATCCCAAAATGGCAGTCTTCTGGAGTTCCCTGATGTCGTGTTCGCCCGGGATGTTGGCCAAATATTTTTTGAGTGACCTGGAGACAGTTCCTGTTGCTCCTATAATTATCGGGAATACTTTTGCTTGCACTTTCCACATTCTCTGTATTTCAATGAGAAGGTCCTTGTATTTCAAGATCTTCTCTGCTTCCTTCTTAATCACATCCCTGTCAGTCGGTACTGGTATGTCAATTAAGAGGCAAGTTCCATTTTTGTTTCGGATTATACTGTCTGGTTTATTATTTGGGATGGTTCTATCTGTTCTGACTTGTTGGTTCCACAAATAGTTATTTGTTGTTATTATTATTGTTGTTGTTGTTGTTGTTATTATAGGCTCCTCACATTCCACTTTCCATTCAGAAACTTAAAAGAAAGAAGACTTGCATGAGACTCATTGTTTCTTACAAGCCCACTCATACCAAAATTATTTATCATGTTAGTGCATTTTCACTGAATAATTTGTATATTTAGCACAAATTTATGCAAGCCTTAATTAATTTCTAGGAGCCAGGCTACGTGTGTAACATTTGTGGGAAACGTTTCCACCGTAAGGATGTACAAGCAAATCACATGTTCCTGCATTCTGGGCAGAGACCATTTAGCTGTGCACATTGTGGTAAAGCTTTTGCATTCAAGTCAAATTTGAGCACCCATCTGGCAACACACCCAACTGATGCTGGTCATCAACAAGTTGAGTTTCCATGCCCTGAATGTGGCAAGAAGTTCCGGCATCGCAGTTCTCTCACCCTGCACAGGTATTGTTCCCAGCCGATTTTGGGTGTAAAAAATTTGGCATACTTATACATTAGACTTAATTGTTTATATCATCAGGGCAATGAGTAACTCATTACCCTGATGAGCAAAGACCTCTGAAACTGGTAAACTTCTACCGCAGTACATGGTGCTACAACCCAGAAGACAGCCATCTTTGTACTCACCACCATGGAAACCTCAAATCCTACTTTATTGTTTATTCTTCTTTCAGCAAGTTATTGAAATGGCATACTGTGGACAAAAATGCCCACAAGCTGGTAGTCTGTTATAGTTCAGCTTATAATAGATCAAATATGGTAGCACAGAAATCATAATTGTCAGTTACTATCCGTATGATGATGATCTTTCCAAAATCAGCTTCATTGAAGATGCGTGTTGACCTTTATCATATGGGTAAAGGGTATTTAAGCCCCCCCCCCCCACCAAAAAAAAAGAACAAGTAAGGACTGCATGCCTGACTTTAAGTACTGGATTTATTGTTTTTATGATACACTGTTGCAACAGCTGGCCACTTAGGCCAGTCATATCATGTAAGCAGTGATACACAGTTTATAAAGGTCAAGTGTGAATTTGTAATGGTCATCAGTAATATTAGAATGCAGCCATTCCTCAGAACTTCAAAAGTATGATCTTAAAGCTATATTACTACACACAATGTTGGGATTTAAGGGGAGAGGAGATGTAGCTCCTACTCATTCTTAATCTCGACACTAGGTGGGGGCGAGTGGTCAGAGTCATGCCCTGGCCGCACTTTACCCCTGGGAAAGGACCCTGATATAGGACAGCATTTAACAAATAAATATTGGTACTTCAGCATCACTGTGATCTTAAGGTACACAAAAATTGTTTTTGTCATGAAATTAATATAATGTGTCAGAATCATTTGCTGGAATGTATATGAAATTCCCATAGAAATAATTTTCTATCAAAATGAAAGCCATGTGTTATGTACAACTTAATTTTCCCATTTGTTCTTAATCTTATATTTGCATTATAGTGAATTCCAGTATGAAATACTTGTGACCTGAAAGCTGAAGCTCCCTGATATAATGTATTTTTAACAAATTTTGTCCTATTTCTTTGTTTACAGAAAGGCACATACTGGTCATTTTAATCATACTTGTGCTGTCTGTGGGAAGAAGTTTATGAAGAAGAGTCATTATGAAGGTCATTTGCGTAGCCATGATTCTGAACGGCCATTTCATTGTCCAACTTGTGGAAAGGGATATAAAGAACGAAAACACTGCCGTGAGCATGTTCGGCGGTTACATCCAAATGATTTCAATTTGGAAACACTATTTGCTTCCATTACAAGTGAAGATGCTCAGGTAGCTGATATGCTGTGCTCTGAACAGGCAGTAACAACACTACACATCCAGAATCCTACTGACCAACATGTTTCCAATCTTCACCAACGGAATTCAGAGCAGCATCCATCAGGATCTACTCTTGATTCAGATTTTATGTTGGAACAGCAACCTGCCTCTGCTCGTAATCAGGCTTCATTGGCAGTAAACACATCTACTGTGCCTTCTCCTGGTCTACATCTCTTTCCGACTGTAACACTGTCAAATCTGGACCCCATTTTACAGGAAATGGGTCAGATGCACCCGCAACCAACCCAATTTTTGATCTCATCAGTTGATGAGAGGCAAGGCTTAACATCAACAGAGAATGTGGAATGCAACATGCAGTGTCAAACATTAGTTCAAAATAATACTGCTTCAGCACTGGCAGTTTTGTCAAGTGAGGATACAACATCAGTATTATCTCAGGGGCTGGAGTCATAATCCCAGACAGGAGATTAATACTGAAGAGTGTGAGTCACTCAATAAGTAGGATTTTAGGTTACGAATTTGGCTGTCTTCTGGGTTGTAGCACCATGTACTCTGGTAGAATACAGCCATCTCTGAGTTAGTAATTGTTTAAGAGTGCTCTATGAAATGTGAGATTATGTTATGTCAATTAATTTCTAAAGTAAATAGCAATATATTTGAATTTTAATGGTTATGAATGAAAGGTCTCTGGAAATTTTCACTTCTTTTAGACATAGTTTGAATAGGCTGTAGGCACAAAAATCTAAAACATAATACACAGCTGAGAAAACGAAAATAAAATGTGCAAGTTATAATTTTTGTTTCCTGTGGTATGCCTGTTACATCACTTAAGTCTTCCTCCTTTTGGGTGCTGTAACTGAATTTTAATCTTGACTTCTGTTTTGGAAATGTTCTAAGTTCTTGCATATATTTGTAGCACATTCCCTCAGATAAGACATCATACCACCATAATAAAGTCCCTACCAACACAGGATGTGGACAAACACCCGTGAGTCAGGAATGAACCTGTTACCTCTTGTGTTTTAGTTCTCCAGTATCATTTACTTCCCAGATCATGCAGCAACTAAAACCATAATTGCATCAGTAATACTTAATTTAATTAAAATTAAAGGTAAAGTTTTGCAATGAGATTGTTATTGTTTGTACAATATTTAATTTAAGTACTTTTCTAAGTAAAACAGGTTTTGAAATCTTGTTCAAGATCTGTTGCTTTGGCCTGATTTATATAGGCCTGCACAAGAGTAGCAACATTAATGGCTATATTTACTCAATACTAACTGGAAGTTGAAATGAAAGTGGCTTGATCATTTGGACATTAAATGCAAAGTTGCATTTCCCAGTGCTTTCTGAAAGAAGATGCTTCTAGAAATGAAAATCTGGCTGTCAAGTAACTCCTGGGAGCTAAACTGGGATGTGCACATTGTGATTATTCAGTAACTAACTAACTAACTAGATGGCTTATTGAACCTGAAGGTTCATTACCAAATTAACCAAGGCCCTCCACCAGACCCCATACATTGTGGTTATCCTTACCCTAAATGCAGATTGTTCTAAAAATTACTATAGCACTATAGTTCTAACAATAAATTCATCATTAAGAAATTGTGCCATATTCATTCCTAAGCACTCTTAAGGATTAATTGGTTTCCATGTTTTTATTGTGAATCCAGGATTTGGTTTGTATACAGCTTGCTTTTGGTATTCTGTTTTCATTTGTGTATCTTTTTGCATTCATCAGTTTCACTAATACATATATTATTTTCTCTGTGTTTTGTACGGGCGACTCGTTATACGTGGGGGCTGTATTCCTGAAAATTACTGCAGTTAGAATAAATGTTTTACTTGAATTTGTATAGATGTAATTTATGAAATAAAACAACATCCATTATAATGATGGTTCCATTTTGTGGTGTCCTCTGGTTACACATCTCTTCTGCACTGAAATAACTGAAAAACAATGCTTTATGTACGTCTAGTTTAAATGGTGATCAGTTGTTCATTGAAGATTTCTCATCTCACCTTTATGAATATTACGTCGTAGCTTTTCTAATTGTGATGTGTTGTACACAATATGCTGATTGAGTGCATTTCAGGAAGGAATTTTGGATTGATGTGGATAGAATATTTATTCTGCTTGTGTCTTTTGTAACTTCTTAAAGGGACATCAGTGAGAAACTTTGTGTATCTGATGGCATTCACGTGTTGCCACTTTCACTGTGGAGAAGTGCGTTTCTATGCAATGTAAGGGTTTCAAAATTAGTATTTTGGCAAATGAAGTATTGCGGGGGAGGCATTAAATCCAATAGTAAATATACTTCTTTATCGATAGAGCTACTGTTCTCATGCCTTGGTACATTGTGGTTTGTTTACTACACGATTATGATTCAGAGATGGTAGCATAGTAGATATAATTTCGAAGTTGCTTATCTTTGTCCGGTAGTGTCTGCTAGTTACGGAAAATGGCTGCTGATGATGGATCGTGGAGGACTGCAACTTTTCGTCAAAGTGTGGTTGCTAAAATGTAAGTTTTCCTCTCTTAATAATAGGTGAGAATGTTCTGTTTTCGTGATTATTTGTTAATGCTTTCAAAATAAGGGTGGTTTTATTTGACATTGTCACTTGTTCGTTAACCCCTATTCTACAACATTTTGTTGTGAATTCTTCAGAAGTAGCTTGTTTTGTCCGAAATCACTAACCTCTCACGCCAGGTCTCATTAGATTAGATTTTCGTAGCTTTCTTTTTTGGGGTTTTGCGAGTTGGCGGAATATGCATCCATGACCCTGATGGGGGTTAGATTAGATTGATCTTCCTCACCTTGTTCGATCAGTTTGGGTTGTGTGTGTGTGTGTGTGTGTATGTATGTGTATGTGTGTGTGTGTGTGTGTATATATATATATATATATATATATACACACACACACATATATATATTGACATCGTTCACTCTTGTTAGATCCAATAGTTTCGCTTTGTGTAGGTGGAGGAAGGAAAGTATGCAGCTTGTATATAAGGTTAATGGTATATACAGTTTATTGTAATTATTTGCAACTTTATATCTACACAACAAAATTATCTTAATCACACTCAGTTGTGTATCTGGAACCAAGGAGATAGAGGACAGTAAAGTGCTTTCCTTGCCTTTTAAGAGAAGAACTTAATTTGAATCTTGAATTTCACAGTATGTAATTTCTCACACCTTCTCAACATATTAATAATCATCTTACTAGTTTTCATTTAGCATTAAATAACCTTGAGGTTCATACAACACTTCAGTGAAGTAAGGAAGGAACTGAACGTACAGAGGTTCTTTTGTTTTCAATTGTTAGCAATGACTATTCAAAGGTAGCTGTATACATGAGACTGCTAGTTTGGAGTTTGGCCTTTTTGTAATCTTGCAAATTGGCTGTTTTTCAGAGATGAAGCCATTCGGACGTCTGGTATGCCAACAACCAAAAATAGCATGGAAATGGAAAACCATGTCTTCCAGAAAGCCAAGACAAGGGTCAGTTCACTTCATCTCTTGTGCTACTGTATTGACACCACATAAGGAAAAATCTCCCATTGTATTTGTAGGGATGTTTGAATTATGTATGAGAAGTTTGAGTCATTGGATGTTTGAAGGAGCACTTAGGTACTAAATTTATTCAGAATATTCAAGTAAGTAAATTCAAAAATTGGAAGTTATGGTGTTTCTGAATGTTTCTCTTGTTCATGATATAGCTGGTGGCTGTATTTGAGTGTTACTGATGTAGCAGTTTGGTCACACAGTTTGCGTGTGTCCTGTTTATGATATACTGTAGAATATCAGTCTAAAGTTATTACCATTATACAGGTTGATTCAAAAGTCCTTGTACACATGTAAGAACACAAATATATTTCTCATATTAACTTACAGTTATAACAAGTCAGAAGGTTGTGGTCGCATGACACAGAAGCTGTGTACCACCTATGACATGTCTGTGCACAGGGACTTTTAAATCACTTCCCACTTCTAACAGGTGTACCAGCACTCTTTAATCACTCTGTTTATAATGTAGTAACTAGGTTCTCAAGTCTCTTCTGCTTGCACAGTGCAATATACTTTTCAGATATGGATATTTCTTGTTGTACTGGCAAAGATAAGTATTTTTTCTTATGTCTGGCATCCACATTTTATGATAGGTTATTGTTCTTATCTCATTGTTGCAGGTTTACAGTGTAGTAAGATGTATATAACCTTTTAGCAGTGTTTTATATTGTTGGCACATGCCAAACTGTAATAATGAGAGGGGAAAGAGAAGGATACTGTAAATGACACAAAAGAAAAAGTAGCAACTGACTGTGACCACATTTCTAGATGCCTATCTACCACAGAACAACACTGACTTTTTTTTGAGTTCACAAAATGTTTTATTCAACTGCATAAATGACAAGCAGTAAATACATTTAATTAATTACATTTCCTGTTTCATCTGTTACTATTTTAATAGGACATAAGCTACCGATTATTATCTATTGTCAATCATGTAAACATTATCTGCATTATGTCAGATGCACTTTATGAAGTTGTGCAAATTTTTTCATTGAATTCTCACCAAATCTACTTCACAGAAAACTCTTTCAGGTACCTTTTACTTATGTTACATTTTTGTTCTGATTATACTTCTCATGGTAAATACTGTTGAGTGTTTCAATTTGTCTAAAGAATTTAATGTCTACAGGTTCAGTCTTTTGTCTTGTCTCATCAAGTAAATAACCTTGTTTCTACTGCTTGTTTTTAAAATTATTTTAAAATATTTGTTGTTGTTCATACTGTTGCATTTTTGTGATTGCATTATGAACAGCATAGAAATACTATTACATTAATATTTCTCATATATATAGCAACTGCCAAGTCTTTGAATATTATGTTCTCCCAGTTCTAGCTTTTCAGAAATATATAGTGTTAATCCTTTGGCTTATTTAATAAACATCAAAACAGAGGCTTTTAACAAGCAAGTAGCTTTACTTTTCTATCCATCCAACTAATGGTATGTACTACATTGTGTTTGAGTTGTTTTTCTCTTGTAATCTCTACTATTGTATTCTGGCATGAACCAAACAGTTTACTTTATTTATTATTTTTTTAGGAAGAATACCTTGGATTTGTGGCAAGACTGATTTTGCATGTTCGAGAAATGAGTAAGTACAAGTTTATATTTTAGTGAATTCTTTACTAAGTGTATATTGTTTGTTATATGGGTCATTTGCATAATTAAATTAACCTTTAGCAGCCCATTGTATTCTGGTTGGGAACATGAATTTATCTTTTGAATAACATATGTACCATGTGATGACATGTTGAATTGTTGTACTTATATTAAATAAATGCCGTAATTTAACTGGGACATGAATACCTGCATGAGAAATTACATGTGATATGTTAAGGGGTAAATGCTCTCATATTTATGATAGCTGCCGTACATAATATGTGCACAGTTTTCATATAAACAGGATTTTTTGTGACAGTATGAAGTATCGTTAATTTGATAAGTGTTGTGCCTAAATATATTCTCCATAGTCAAGAATAATTAATATATTCAGAGGACTAATTGAAATACGGGAAAGCAACTCATAAGTTAAAACTTGACTTGTCGGTTTAGATATTGGCAATTTGAACTCTCAAGCTAATCAGTTTATTTTCTTCATTATTTTGATGCAGATTCAAAGAAGGGCGCTGGTATGGGAGTACCTGGTGGTGGTAGTGGAGGACAAGCTGCCCAAGATCCAATAGGTGCCCTTCAAAACCTAGCCCGTCAAGGTATATTCAAAAATAGTGCATCATACTCAGTGAATATTTCTGTTTGCATGTGTGTTATTTAATCTACATTTTTAGTCCGTTGTAGCATACATACATTTTATTTAAGTGAAATAAGTATTTATAATCAGTTGACATTTTTTGTGAAGTAAAATTCTTAGTCGTCTTTACCTAAACTAAATTGCTTTTTTACTATGGCATGTAACTTCCTGAGTTGTGACATAATGTTCACAGATAGTATAGAATAAAGTTTAAATATTTGTGATTATAGTTCAATCTAATAGTGAAATTAATATAATTTTTTGCAAGTGTTTAACCTTGTTGTATAATTCATGCATCTTACTTATGTAATCTTCAAACTTATAGATAGTTTATTTGGTGAATGTTGTGTTGTGCCATTGGTATAAACCTTATTATATACATTGTAGAAGGCTCTTAATGTTTACAGTGTTGGTTTATGAGTAATTGGATCAGTGCTGTTTGAACTTTCTATACTCTTTAGGATGCCAGTTATTTTTTTTATTAATAATTCTGTTTACAGGAACAGGGAATCAGATAATGGGATTAGGAGGACCACAGGGAGGAGGTATGGTCCAACCTTCATCCATTCCTGCCTCAAGCTGTAAGTTAGCATTTAAATTCTATGCAAAATATTAACTGAGTTTGTACTGCCCCTCTTTCTTTCCTTCCTTTCTTGTAATTTGAAGGTCTTATACATCCATTATACCTTTCAGCTCTAGAATTATTAGTTTTTATTAAATTTGTTGTTGTAGAAATTAATACTTCTGTCTATATCAATGAGTCAGGACTTGTTTTTTATATGAAGATTTATGTGAATGTTCAGAAGTATCATATTGTTCATGTGTGTGTACTGGCTTGCATGAGGATGTGTGAAAGCTAATGGTAAAGACAGCAGAAGGTGGTAATGCATTCCTAAATTTCTTAATATGAAGTTAGAATTTATATTATAAAAATAAATAAGAGGTAGATATCTGAACATTGGAGTCCTCTGTAGGAATGTTATAGATTAAATATAAACTGAAAGAAAGAGAGTGGATTAATTATTTATAATGGGTATGTGGTACAGAAAAGGTTAAGTAGTTTGTATACCACTGTACTGTATTTGTAGAACTGTTTGACTTCATTCCTGTAGTGGATAGACCAGCAGTTTCAAGACATCTGATTTTGTTCATTTACTCAAAATTCCTGAATATAACATGAACTACAAACCAAGTTTTATAAGGATAGAAGTTTGTGTAATAGGAAGGTAGGTTTTATGGGTTTTGGCCAAATATCTCTATTGTCCATTGTTTCTCTCTTCACCCAAGTGTTGTCATTTACATTTCTCCTGTTCAATTGACAATACTGCTACTAATGAAGTTCTAACACCTTTGGTACAAAAGCTCCAGAATTGGATGCGGTTCTGAGTTGGTTCCATCTACCTCATATACACGCAACCTATATTCCTAACTTGCATCTTATTATCTCATCTCCTCAGTATTTTAACTGTCCACTTTTGCAGGTGTATTAAATTAATTATTGCACATTTATTTTACTTTTACTTTATTAAACTTATTTAGTTATAATTCAGACATGTTGCATTTCTAATGGAGTAGATCACACTTCAAAATTTATACTTTTTATGTACATAAATATTGTACTTGTCTTATTTGATAATAGAAGTCTTTCTTTTTAAAGCTTTAACAGTTGATCTGTTTCTATATGTATTTGAAGAAGTTTTGAATGATGGAGACTGTGGCCTTTTGTAGATCATTTTCACTTTGTTCTGTAATTGCAGATTGTTAATGTATAGTAGGTCTTTTGATAACAAATATAAATATTTTGTCAGTGTTGCAGACATTAAATCAAAGGCCACAGGGGTTGTCAGGAATGCAGCCTATGCAGAACAAAATGCCACCAGATATTGGAATGGGTCCGGGTCCACAGGTGAGTTTTGTTGGAACTTTGCTGGAAGTTATTAACCCCTTGTAGAATGAACAACCTCTCTCTATCTCTCCCGTGCACAAACACAAACACACACACACACACATAAGTTTTTGCACACTTTATATATATTTCCTTACTTTATCCCTGTACAGTGTCCTTTGTCCACCAAGTGGTAATTATTTGGTTAGCCCATGAGCAAGTCTTCCAAAATATGTTTACAATGTGATTTTCATTTGTATTAATTTTATCATTACTATGAAGCGCTGGTGAGTGTGTGTATTTGTTTTCATGAAACAAAACTGAAGAGAACAAAAATGTGTGGTTCAGTCCCAAAAATATACATAACAGTCTAGCTCCCAGTAGTCACTAATCAATTTTTACAAAGTACATTCTTAACACATACTCCATTCCTCTTTTCCTGAGAGCAAAATGGCTGGAGTGTGACCACTTATCTAGAGCTAAGATTAAGAATTCATGAAGATGTACCTTTACTCTACCTATCTTTATCATGGAATGGTGCTTAATTACATACAAGGACAATTACTTGTTGCTCTAAAGCATGTGTTTTGTAAGTGTACAGTGTTTTCATTGTGCAGGTTGGACCAATGGTGGGAATGCCAGGCCAGATGCAGTCAGGACCCCTACCAAATGTTGCATGCCCAAGTCAGATGGCTGGTCAGATTCCTACCCAGATGCGGGTTCAGTTGCCTGGACAGATGGGTGGACAGCTGCAAGGTCAAATTCAAGGTCAGTCTCTGGGCCAGATGCCTCAGATGCCAGGACAAATGCCAGGCCAGATGAATCATATGGCTCAAATGCAGCAACAGAGAAAAGTGAGTAGTTAAGTTGTTTATTTTCTTACTTAGATGTCATCATTTACTTGTTACATTTGGGTAACACTACGTTTTTCTGACAGTATGGGTTCAAGTTGCTTTGCATTTTATTTCTAAGCTATAGGAATTACACAATGCCTTTGCCTAACCTGTGACATCTGATTGAATATGTAAGAATAAGGGATTGCATGTCTTATAACATAACTGATATTGTAACCGTCCAGACATTAGAGTTCTGTGGAGCAAAACTGCGAGGGCGAGCTGGCCGACATTCTTTAAAAACAAAGAAACGGCTGCGTGCAGTGAGAAAGTAGGGGGAGGACTCACATGTGGTTTTTTTGGGGGAGTGAGCCAGCAGCAAGGGTCGTGAAGGGTGTCTGGGCAGTCGTGGACAGTCTTGGAAAGTTTCTTGACGGTAGAGGTTAAGATTTTTATAAAGTTGTGTAACGAAGAAAATACATAATAAAAGTATAATTAGATCAACAGCTAATTATTATCTGTTCGTCATTCACCCGATCCCCGTGAACGACCCTGAGTCCCTGGCTAGTCGAGGCAAACAAATAACCAAGGACGGTTATAATATCTGTGATCAATGGAGATAGTTATCCACATCTGTAGAAAATGAGAGATCGACAGTATATTCTGGCATCAGAATAACTGACAAAGTAAAATGTTTCCTTTATATCTGTATTTTTTTTAATAATACAAAATGTTGCATAATGAGGAGCTTCATGATTGATACAGGTCAGCTAGTATTGTTAGGATGGTGAAATCAGGAAGTTAAAATGAAGTGAATGTGCTTAAATGGGGGAGACAGGAAGTTCATGCTGTGTTTTCTGTGTGTGGTGGGGGGTTTGTTGTTGTACACAATGGAACTAAACTGTGGAAAGACTGCAGACCATCTTGTAGTAAACTATTAATCCACAAGCATTGTGTTCTATCTGGTTCGAATGTCTTTTATGTATTAAAAAAGAGACATGAAAAGGCTGCTTTCAATGAATACATGAAAAGCACCAGAACTTTTTTTTGCAGAGAACTTCAGTGAATTTTCAAAAGTTTTAATTATTTAATTGCAGTTGAGTTCTTACTGTGATTGAGTTTTTTGAGTTTGAAAATTTTTATAACTTTATATTTTACCTCTGACATATCACTGAATTTGTGTTTAACTTAAAGCTCAGACTTACCTAACAATTCAAGGGTGGGTACCTGGGATATACCATATTTACTCATGTACCCTACACACTTGTGTAACACACGCACCCCATTTTTCAGGGAAATAAAACAATTATTTTGAAAAGTTTGTAACTTTTTCTTCATATGCATCTGTACAATATGGGTCTGTTTCCTTGTGGTTAAATTGTTACAGGCAAAACACCTCACCAACCACCCTTGACTTGCCTTGAAATTTGTTACTTGCTTGGCTCTAGCTATTGCCACCATTTTCATCTGGCACATTTCCATTAATACAGCATATCTGAATTGCCACTTCTTGCAAATAAAATTCACTAGTTCCTCTTTGATTAACTCAAACTTCAGTGTGGATACTCTGAAGGCTCTTCGAATACTTGTCTCCATTAAGCTATGTCTACACTCGTGCGCTTTCGTTTTCAACTTTCAGTTCAACTTGCGCTTCAACATTCAATTCAACTTTCGTTTAGGGCATGCCTTTGTTGAATGTGTCAAAGGCATGCTCCTAGCTGTCCACACTACGCTGCTATTTGTCAGGCATTTTTGTTAACAGGAGAGAGGAACATGTCAGACGCAACTTTATTTATCGGTATAAGTGCAGCATATTTAGTTATCACAGGTGCAAGAAAAAGAAAAGAGCAACGGCAGCAACGCATATGGCTGAAGGATTATTTAAAGAAACGGAATTTTGGAATTCTGAAGGATTTGGAAGTCGATGAAGAGGTTTTATTTAGAAACTTTACACGAATGTCCCATAATAGTTGAAACGACCTGTAAATGTCGATAATCAACAAAATTTTTCTTCCGAAGACGTTGTCTTGTAGAGCAGTGGTATTAAACCTGGGGTGTGCGTACCCCCGGGGGTATGTGAAATTTAAAAAAATACATATATTTCTTATGATAAACACTGAATAATCAGGGCCAGATTTAGGGTTAGCCACAGGAGAATCGGATGTAAGGACATTCGATTTGGGAGGGCCATTTTCTCTCTCTCTCTCTCTCCTTAATTTAATTCTTATCTGGGTGGCAGAAACAAGCTCAATCATCTCATTAACAGGTTTGAACCACATTAATTAATAATTTATAAAAAATTTAAACATATAATTTTGCTTTGCTAAAATACCTTTGTTTCTTTATTATTTTTTATATGATAGACAATAATGTATTTGTTGTTTAATAGCTTGATTTTCCTTTTTCTAAATTAAAACTTATTATTTAATACATTATTTTGGATGTAATTTACTTAATTTATTTTGGATGTAGATTATATACTATGTATAACTTGAATTATACAAATTATACTTTGGGGATACAAAGTTGAAGAGAAATTATATCTTGGGATACACGAACAAAAAGGTTGAATACCACTGTTGTAGAGGAAGGAGACATGAGACGCACGGCGTGTTGAAACAAAACCCACTCAGGCTGGGAACACGTGCATTGAGGCATGCGCTGCTAAATCTGTTGCCGTTCAACTCTCTTCAGGCATGCGTTACGTGCCCTATTGCTTGCGCTATAACGCATGCCATTGACGAACGTAAAAGCGCACGAATGTAGACATAGCTTTAGAAGGTCCTTCTTCTTCCTCCAGTCTCTTATAGATGCCTCACTGACATTAAACCTTCTCCTGACAGCCTGATTTCTGATTACCTCAGCCATTCAAAATATCTTCAAGTTTTCACTCGCTTTGAAAGACCATAATTTCTTGCTCTTTGTACTAATTTTTCATATAATAACTGAAGCAAGTAATGGTCAACCCTGCTTTTAAAGCACCAGGAGCAGGTAGAGAGATACATTTAGGTATGTAATGACTTATACTTGCATAAGCCACTCACCCCATTTTAAGGGTAAATTATTTTCAGAAAAGTGCGTGGGATATATGAGTAAATACGGTATGTGGATGTATACTTGAAAACTCAGTGGCTATTCGAAACAGAATTTTGCAAGAAATACCCCTTTTTTGTAAGGTTTATCATCATGTTCACAAATTCTATATTCTAGTCTTTGTATAGTGATGATATGACATACTTGTAGACATTTGTTTTGTTGTTCAGGGAGGTGAGGGTATCATGATGACTGGTCAGAATTCTGGGTTTGCTGGTCCGCGTAATGTTGCTTCCAATGCATTTTTACGACAGAGTCCATCACCATCTGCTCTACAGGCTTCTCCAGCAGGGCTGGGTGCTGCTCCATCCAGGTATTTATATGTACTTGCTAATATAAGTTTGTATATTATTTTCTATGTTTCAAAGTTTGACACAAGAGGATGCTACATTACAGAAGTACATCATCTTTGCTTGGAAAGTACTTTTACATAGTTATTGTTTCTTTGTAGATATATGTCATATACCAGAATCATTTCTTATATTTGTTTTATGGCATCACTGTGATGACTAATTATTTACATTATGGCTGAGAAATTAGTATTCTTAATATTATGCCAGTGGGGTCGTGGCCGCGCGGTCTGAGGCGTGGGCCTTGTGCCGCTTGGTCGCGGGGACTGTGGGTTCGAATCCCACTCAAGCCATGGATGTTTTTCTGTGTTGTGCTGTCCTTTGTATAGGTAGGGGCCTTGCGACTAGCCAATCCCTCATCCAAGGAGTCCTACCGAATGTCCATAGATCAAGCCAACTAAAAAAATTTGGGGACCTGTAAAAGGGTACCAGAAAATGTATAAACGTTGTTAAACTGGAAAAAGAAGAATATTATGTCAGTCTAGATAATTAAATTTCATGTACCAATATAGAATAAAATAGTTTATCTCAACAAAAAATATATTTTATTCTCTTATGTAACAAATTATTACTGTTCTTTCTCTCCCTAAAATGTCACAAAATTTATTGTTGTTACATGTTGTATTTTATGCCATGTTTTGAAGTTTAGAACATAAACAGAGTTTATCATGCATGATCTTCAGGTATGTCCACTTGGAAAGACCAAGAGGAAAATGGGGTTGTGAGAATGAGAGGTGGGTGGAATTGGCTGAGGATTGTGTGCACTGGTGAATTTTAGTATTAACAGAGATGAATCTTTGGGTCTTGATGGCAGTGTTTATCATTGTTTGCACTGCAATGCTTCAGTACAGTTCCTACTTCAGTGCTGTCTTGTATTGACTTCATGCTTCCAATATTATTGGCTGAAAGATGTGAAGGTGCGGAAGTAAAGACAACATACTTTACAGTAAATTTGTATTCTAATTGTTGTTTAATTTCTACATTACTTTGTCCTGTTGAAATGTCAAGAAAACAGATATTGGCAAATGTAGTAAGGCCATGGAGAGAAATTCTGTGGATGGCAGGGATGTTGAGGCTTCCTTATTTCTGTCTACTTTTTTGTTCCCCTCAAACTCCCTCTGGCATGTATCAGCCAGCCCAAATACTCTTGTTGCTAGCAAAAGTTATTGCTGTTAACAGTGACAAGATCAGAATGGCTAAGTGACTGGAGGAGAATACAGGGAGTGTGCTAGAGGGAATAAGTCTAACAGCTTAAATTGTAGGACTTCTTTCTGTGACCTCAGTATAGTACATGGGATTTCAGTGTTTGAACTGACTGTTTCATTCTTAGCAACCAGATGGCTGCATCGCCTGCTTTGGCTCCTTCACCAAGTTCACAGCTCACCCCCATGTCTACTGCCCAGCGATCTGGTGGTAAGTTAAAAATGTCACTTTTCTTATGGTAATGCTTGCTACAAATGGTATTCTTAGACTGTTAATGTCAAAAATGTATCACTGATTCATATGCATTTTAAGTCAGTGGTTTTTGAATCTTTGACATCACAGACTAGTTAGAAGACTTGATGTAGTTGTATACTGGCATATCATATTAACACACAATAAAACATTTGGTAATTTTAAATCTTACAGACATCACATGTATGTTCACTTTAAATGTAAAATAAATTATCATTAAAGAAATTTGTGCATGGTATGTAATCATGGTATTATAAAATGAAGATGTGTTTTCAACCTACTGCTGCAGTGCAGTATAATGTTGTCCTCAGTGAAATAGATCCTGGTTGTTTGTTAGGATATACTTGTATACTCTAGAAGTTGACTAATATTTTTTATTATCCTATGCTATAATATAGACTAACTTTTATATACACAAGTGCCATTTTTAGTTACATAGTGTGTGAATTATTCTTCTATTATTATACTTGCAGGAATGGCTCCATCACCAAGCAGTTCACTTAATACTCCTGGTCCTGCAGTACCTACTCCCAGCCCCTGCAGCCTACAGGAAGATCAGGCCTATAGGGAGAAGGTTCGGCAGCTCAGTAAATATATTGAACCCCTGCGTCGCATGATCAATAGGATGGGCAATGATGGTGCGTGAACATACATTTGCTTATATATTGTGTAGAATTGTGTCAGTTTAATTACTGACGATGTTTTTTTGTATGTATTTGTTTCATGCTAATTAGATTTGTAGAGAGAACAGCTTTTGCAATTGTGGATTGAGACACAGATTAAATAAAATAGCTTCACATACTTCATTCACAGTGTGGTTTGCACAGTTTGGGAAATATTGCACATATGATAATAAAATTAAGGAATTACATTTGGGAAACAAGAATGCATACCAGACTTGTGATGTGGAAATCTGTTAGAAACTTGTCACTTGCATGACCAAGAAGTAGATGGAGGATAATATGGAAACAATCCAAAGGATGCAATTGTGAAGGTGTGAATAGGACCAAACTGACAGTACTGTATCCATTGGTTGGATTTTACCTTGGATTCTGTTACCACGGTTTTTGGTAATTGGTTAGCTAGTAAGTTAGTACAGTGAAACCTCTATCCATCGTTCCCCGAACTATCGTTTTCCCAGATGCATCGTTCGTTTTGTTTGGTCCCTGATACATCCCATATAAAATAATGTTACATTTGCCCGCTTCTATCGTTCCTCGAACTATCGTTTATCGCATCAATCGTTCAAAAATCTTAGTCCTGGCCCACAATTCTCCCGCAATGATCGTTTCTGATAAATTATAACGAAATTTACGCGATGTTTTTAGAATTCAAAATGCTGGGTTTTGAGATAAATTAATACCGAAAGACGCACAATGTTTTTGGAATACACAGTAGCGGTAACCTGTTATGTCGCCCAACCAGCACAGATTCTTTTGGAATGAGGGGTCAG